TGGACAAGAGAACGAACATACCATGCACTCTGGCTAATATGTCTATCACCCTTGACTTGGGCTACAATACGAAAAACAACGAGGTACAGAAATTCCGTTTAAATTTTAAGCAATGATCAACGTTTAGATGGCCTTGCTCGAATACGTTCTTCTTGACAATTCAATGTTAACTTAACATTGATAGTAGGTCATTAGTAGTATTGCCACCGAGTAGTAACTAAATGCCATACAAATTGGAAAATACAGTGCTTCATATTTACTACATTTTTAATTTCACGTTTCATGTAATTTATGCAATTCTCGTTGGCAACGGAATTGCATTTTACAATGTTGCAACTACAGCGTTAGTGTTTACGAGACGTAGAAATTACGCAAATTACGAACAGACATATTTACCGATTCCTATTTAGTTAGGCGTTTATCTTGAATACGTCGATCTTAAAGATTTCTGTCATAAGAGAAAACGTTATTCCACATTTTCTATTCAGCTTTTTATATAGACTAGTTTTCTCCAGGATTGTACCACGATTTCGTGAACGCTTTGTACAGATTTACATGGCTTTTGATTACATACGAATAACAATTTATGCTAACAGATAGCAACAAGGAAACTACAAATTCCACGCGACGCCGAAGTTACTGGCGATTGCGCGTCTACTGCAACCGTATTAGCCTTCACTTGGGGGAAGAAAAATGAGGAGAACATGGTAAAATTCGTATTGTTCAACGATCACACCTATTTCTCACTTTTCTCCGTTGTAGTGGATATTTATTTGGACCCGGAAAATTTCCCGGATGCCGCAGGTACAGTTGTTGAATTTTCTAAACATTATTTGGTAAATGTTTACATCGATTTTGATTGGTAGAATTCCCTAACCCTTCCGAATTGTTTATTTTTAAACTTATAATTTCCAAAATCTAAATGAACGAACATCCATTTTTCTAAGAACAATAAACTAAACCATTCATTGTTCGTAAACTTAGTGTTAATAATTATTTAAAAATTTTTGAATTGAATTAATTTGTCACTGACAAATGAATGACGTAGATACACGACTATACAGGAAGTCTGAAAACGATCTCGGTTTATTTAATGCTCGCACGGATGATGGTCGGCACACGTGTCTCGGTGAGACGAAGATCAAGGTCAACGAGTACGTGAACGTAACGATGATTGACCTCTCCTTGATCGCGTTCAACACTATGGAGGATTATTCTTCGCGGAAAGGTAATTAAATGGTGTTAATAATAATATATAGTATGTAAATAATATATAAATAATCGTCTCAACGCAGCTGACCACAACTTTCAGAGATCACGTGCAAAGAGCAAACTAGAATAAAAGCTTTTCCTTACAGTATTGAGCATTTAAAAGGTACAATTAAATTCTTGACAAAAATGAGGTTCTCGATGGATGTTTCTTACGTGATGACGAATGACTCGGTATGTATCATTAGCACTTAAAAGAATCAGTTTTATCATTTTAAAGCAAAATCATCACGCGTTGTTCTCGAGTGGGTGTTGCCTTGTGAGCGACGATGAATTTGATATTGCTCTGGGTTAGTTAGCAAAACATCTACTTGGAAAAAATACTGTCAAGAACAACTGGCAGTAGTTGTATTCTTAATCCCTTGTCATATGATTTCTTGCACAACTGTGCTTAATAAAGTTACTTTATAGTCGATAATTTATTAGAAAAAAAAGAAACAGAATTTGATACTTATTCTACGTCTACGTTTGGTTAATACTGATATTAGAAACAGTATTTCATTTGTATTTAAAACAAGCCAAGTTCTGATATTTAACAGTTTAAAATTTTCATCGTGAATCTGATATGATATCATATGGCAAATGCTTCGGCGGGGCGCAGCTTAATGCTGCCATTTGTTAAGCTTTGTTAGTATTGGCGTGCTTTTGTTTCAGATCAAAAAGGTGACCATACCGTTCCACAACTATGCTTTATCAACGGGATACCTTAATTCAGGCCGTTCTCAACTATATGGCAGTTTAATGTTGACATGGTGGAATAAGGAGAATTATACCTTCATAATAGATTTTTCTATTCTCGAAACAAGAGAAGCTGTTCTTTACATTAGAGACGTGAAGCTAAACCTCATTCTTGAGAAGGAATTTTTAAACAACGCAAAAGGTAAGTTTCTAGACTACATTTTACAGTGACGCATGCTGCCTCGAGAGTAATGAATTTGACAATGCTCATAAACACTCAACGCAACATCTACTTGCGAAGCATGTTCTCGAAAGTACATAACTTTCAACAGTTTTGTTCCGAAGTGAACATTTGACTTTAACAGTAGAACTACAGTTTTTGATAAAAAAAAAGTAGGGCCATCATTAATGTCGTCTTAGAGAAGATCCAGTAATCTGATTTTTTTCTGGTCGTTTTCTCATATTCATTTTTTATAACTCGAGCTATATTTTTTTGCTTAACTCTTAATCTACTTAACACTACGATAAAGAAATACAATACAATACAATAAAGAAATTATTATTAAATTACCTTTGAGCTTTCAACATTATGATTCCCGCAACAAATGTTACGAACTATGGCGATTACTAATTAACTATAGTGAACCTAATTTTTTGATTGGGGACTGTACATGACAATAAAATCGATGTTGCTAAAATTTTCTATAGAATCTTTGAGAGTACATCTATTGGGATTTCAATTGACATGTAATTCAATTTGCGAGTTAATTAATCAACTTCTTCAATTATTTCTCAGATAAACATCTGTTTTTCTTTTAATAATTATAAAAAAAGCATTCGAGAATGAGTTGTTTTCACTCATTTGGTAGCTCTACTGGTAAGTTATGTGATTTTATGCGGTTTTTTCAATCAGTGCACTACACTATTCCAGATAGGTTAATACGCGAGGGAACCTGGAGATTCAATTTGTTTCCTATGAAGCACCGCACCGGACTTTACAGTTGTCCAGTTGGAACCACCTTACGCTTAGGTGACGTAGGCTTGACGATAAGCGACGTTCTACTAACAACCGACGACGGGGATGATTTTTCATCGAAGCAAGGTAGAACAATATTAGAGTAAGTCGGGAAAAGATGGTCCACTTTTTAAAAAGAACAATTTTATCATAAATATCATTGATACTGTTGAGAAATACTTTCTATGAAGTAGAAGTAGTCTTTTCACGTAAGTGAATTGTGACTTTAAGAAATATAAACTGTACGGTACGGTCAACTATCCGCTTCGATGGTCGATCATCATCTCAAACCAGTATGGCCAGATCGAAGAGATTTAGGGGAACACAGTTTACCCTGTCCATGGTATTACCACCGGGTTCTCTGGTGGTTGCGGAGGTTGAAAAATGTCCGCTGATGAAGAATGGGATAGTGTAAGGGGCATGGCAGAGTGGGGAAAAGACAACCATTTGATTGCTTTCTGACTTCATTGGCCTTGCGCATTTTCACGCGTTTGTCTCTCTTTTCTTTTACGCAGAAGGCTACCACCACTACCGACGAACCGGCATCTTTGAATGCTGATATCTCAATAACGGCTTATGCGAAAAATTTCATGTCAATAGTTTGGAAACATTTGAATGTCGGTTTCAAAAATATGGAATAGAAACCATAGAGTTCTGTTTAAGAATTGTAACATAACCTTACCGGGATGTTTCAAGGTCACATCACGGTCAAACACCTCCCACCGTGATATGTAGTATTTCATACCCTGTATCCTTTGTCTAACGCATTTGTTCGTAACACTGACATTTTCCGAGATAATTCAGTGTTCTTGATTCGGTCCTAATACATCCTTTTTTAAACAAAGCCTATTTTTATCTCGGAAACTATTGAGTTTTGGACCCATGTTTACTGAGGAATTTTTACACGGTTTAGTCAGTTGTATATGTCCTATCATTTGTGCGCAATAATTTAGAAACACCCTATATATGAAAATAAATGCACGTAAGAAGAATAGTTAAACAGGTCTCTGTGCAAGATCCAGTATACCACTGAAAGCAATTATAAATATAGATTCTATATAATTTCTTGTAAACATTGAAAGAATACGTTTCCTAAGATTCAAATTTCGAAATTTTTGCTACGAAAGACTAAAGCTAAATGTACACGATCGGTCCGCGGTAAAATGTCGCGACTACGATGTTTACAAGAATAAAATGTAAATTTCTCTTATTCCCTTATTCTCTTCTTTTAACAAATTTTTTCCCCAAATCGCTCGTGTGCACTGGGCTTAAGCAATACACCAACAGTGAACTCGGGAACATCATATATTTACGCTAAGATAAAAAATATACAAGGATAAAGTATTACCTCCATTTTTCAGTTATCGATTGCAGGACACAGAATAAAATAACCGAGAAAGACTTCAATTACGTCGTGAAAGTTGAGGGACAGGATGTGCCGTGCATTCTAGCGAACATGTCGATCTCCATGCGCATACGATACCCAATAGCAACTGATTACGTGAGCATCTAAAATATGAAATTTTGCAACGCACTGACATTAAAAGAAAACTTGGCAAAATTGGGTTTCCGTTTCTAGGGATTTGCCAACTTGACCGTGCCAAGCGACGCTAAAGCCGAAGGTTTCTGCGATCATTCCATGTCCAAAATGGTGCTGACGTGGGTAGAACCGGGAGGCAATCAACAATCGAACAAGTTCGCACTTTATCTATCGCGAAACTCGGATCAATTCTCCGTATACTTTGTCGAGGCTGATATTTATTTCGATAAGGAGAATTTCCCGAATGCCACGTGTAAGATTTACAATTCATTTCGGCGACAGAAGCCTTTAATCTTCGTGATTCATTATGTCGTTTCATGATCTGTTTTAGACATGGGGACACGGTTCCGGTTGTCATCCAAGTTCAATCTCAATATATTCGCCGGTCCCCCGCAAAACGTGATTTACCAATGTACGGATGATTCTGAGGTACAAATTGAAAATGCAATGGTAACTATAAGCAACGTTACGTTAGTACCATTCAACGAACAAGAAGACATGAATTTGAATCTAGGCAAGCATTTTATATCAACGATTACCTTACTAAACCGAAAATGGAAAGGTCAAAATTTTTTAGCGATCTATGAGCAATTTACAGCAATTGCTTTCTTGACCTTTTTGCGTCTCGTAGATCCAATGAAAATTTGATCTGTTCGATGAATCACCGAGAAAAATAAGCTATACATTTATACATAGAATTGATATTATAATTATTTGATAATATTGACAGTCTTTATGTTAACGCTACCCGTACCAACATTTTGTATTACCTATTCCTACCGTAACCAGTCAAATAATTGGCTATAAAATAAAAGTGAACAAGTTCGATTATAAGCTCTTCTTAGTGCAAGTAGAAACAACAGGAAAGACAAAAATTACAAAACTGATTAATCGGGCAATATAGGAATTAATGTAAAGTTAAATGAATGAAAGAAAACGTAGAATTTTAAATCCGGTCATTTGACCGGTTTGCGGTACGGTTAGCATTAAAGTAGATATTTAAATACACTAATAGAAAATTTCAATGTTTCAGAGTATGTTTGTTCTGAAAAGGGGACCACCATTGAACCTCCTATTACTACACCTGATGCCTCTGAAAGTGACTACATGTACGTTGTGAGATACACGGATAGGAATGCCGCTTGCATTTTGGCAAACATGACCATTTCCTTGAAAATACGTTATTCTACCAAAGATTCTGCAGTAAGTAAAGATGGGAATACTGTTTTGAGTAAGTCTAGAATAGTTGGACTACATTTGCACGAAGTTCTAAGAACATTAAAATTAAATTTACAATTTCATTATGGTTTTGCGTATTTCAACTCATTTAATCTTATCTTCTTACGCTTCAGTTCATTGAAAAATATTAACCGCTTGCATCTCTTCTCATTTGTTCACTGTAATAACATATATTTGTCATTTTCTGATGTGAAACATCGATGCCATTTTTGGTTAAGAATAAGAATTATTTAACGGGCTACACAGAATTTAATATTGAATGTCGAATCTTTATAATTTTGCTGAATCGGGCCGAATGGCGAATGAACATCAACTCCCGGGTGCAAAGGGTTAACACTGATCTCTCTTTGTGATCGGACTATCCCAGACCTACCATGTTATTGTGCTGTACACGGAAAAAGAAGTATTTCCTTTTACTAAAGATTATCTGAATTTTTCAGTAGATAGTTAGAATTTGTATGCATAACACTTAATATTTATTAAAAACATCGAGTATACACTATTGAAATTTCACGTATACCTCTCACTTGTTTTAAGATTCCCTAACATACATTGTGTAGAACTTGCTTGTAAAACATTATCCATATGAAATCTAGCATTTGCTTGTACTTATACTTAACCCTTTGCACTCAATAGACGCCTTGCAGTCGTCATTTGATTCGAGCCAGTAAAATTATAAAATTGAAAATTCAATATTAAATTTTGTATAATGTATTATATCAACACATGGTACATCGAAATAGAACAGATCTGTTCCTTAATTTAAACAAGATATTCCCTTACGTTAGTCACGTGTCCTTTACGTATGTCACATCATTGGCATTTCGTTAGAAAATAATGAATATTTATTGAGAAAAACATTCTCGAGTGCAAAGGGTTAATACTTATAAACTATTGCTGTTTTTATGCATACAACCCATTCTTTGTCGTGATATCAATGATTGCCACGTTGCTGTTAATTTAGACAAAGGAAACCATTCTGAACGTGCCCAGCGAGAAGGTTGAAACCGAGGGCAAATGCGACTGTAGAAATCCTAGTATGACGCTGGTGTGGTCGGAAGATCATCACGCTGACGCCGATACTCAGAATCGAGTTACGTTGAGATTCTTGGGAGACGATAATTATTTCTTCCTACGTTCGATTTTGGTAGACCTTTATTTGGATGTGAAGAATTTCCCTAGCGCCGAAAGTAAGAGCACCAATGACAATGACTTCAACTCATTTTGTCTCATAAGCAATTTGTTTTAAATTTTAGATATGTTGTCGGGGACGTAATTCTAAGCAACTTTTTCTCGTAACTAAAGTATCGCTGTTTTCTTAGTTTCCGAGATAATCGCAAAATACGTTTTGATACTTATTTAACAAATATATGTATTTACATGACTGCAACAGGAACGTACTCGCGTTAAAGAAAGTACTACGTAAAATGGACAAAAATGCATTAACGAGTTAATTTGTTAGCATTTTAAATATATTCTCTATTTGTGATAGAACAAGAATCGTTTCTGACACATCGTTTTCTATAACATGACTTTGATCTAGACTCAAGATTCAATGAAGGTAGATTTAATTTGGAACTATTCTCCACGCCCACGAGACGGATGCAAAGGTGCGACCTTGAAACCGTCATCGAACAGCGAAATCTCCAAGTAACATTCAACAACGTCGCTTTAATCGCGTTCAACACTGATTCAGATGTTTCTAACAAAAATGGTAAGTTGAGTTTAACAAACGAAAGTGCTTTACACGGTACACAGTAAGTGCGATCAATTTCGTTAATGTTTCAGAATTTAAATGCCAGTCTAGAAATGCTCCAAGTCAAGAAATTGCGGCTTATGTTTCAGGAAGCATTGTGATTGTAGTCGTTATAGTAATTCTCGTGGGGCGGATTTCAAAACGATTCTGTTCGACCAAAAACAAGGCGACATAGGAAACAGCTTCCTCTGTCATTACTCTCATTTCTATCTATTTGTCATTACTCTCATTACTATCTTAATTTTTTTTCTAATTTCTTTTATCTTCATATTGAGAGTTGCTATAGTTGATAAATATACAACAAAATTAAAGTTGAAATATCTCCTAAACTAATGATTTTTCGACGTGTATAGACTAACATCTTTTCAACAACAATGAACAGTTGCATCGAGTAATGTATAAAAACCATATAATTCCATTTAAAGAAATAAAGGTGATCCTGAAATTTCCGAAATTCTTCCACCTACAAGAAAAGTATAATTATAACATTAAACGAATAAATTCAAGTGAAAATTCTTACTAAAACATCCTGTACATGTACCTATGTAGTAAAATGTTAATGGGTAAATAGTTCAGATAAAGTGTATCTCAATTATTTGCTTTCTCAGTTATTTCAAAAATAGATTTACATCGCGAGAATAATAAATTCCCAATATGCAGGTTATTCATCCGTTGTATTAAAATTTTCATTCAGTTTTGACGTGAAATGAAATCAATTAAACATTTCAGAATTAATGCTTCACGATACTGGGATACTGGTGAATACATGTCATGATAAATTACTGTATGTACAGAGGACACTGTAGAAATTGCAACTCCTTATTTTCAAAATTTACTCAAAATCTATTCAATGTTTTAATATTCTGAAACACACATAATATCAAGACAAATGAACAGAATGTTTGGTACCCATAATATCAGAACCGCAATTAAATAATCGAAACGATCTCTGTATCATCTATTTGGTTTTTACTATAATTTACCTTACGATAATATTAACAATTTCAATTTGAATAACTCCCAATTTTCCAATAATTACTATGACATGATAATACAAGCGAATACGTGGCATGATTTGTCTATAAATTATTTTACGATATTATTCGTACTGAATTTTCAATATTTCCAAATATAACAATTAAAGGTTCGATGACAATAATTCTACATTTCTTTCAATTGTGTTTAAATATCAAAAATCTATTTGAACCGTTACGAATTCAATGGCACGTTTATTATTGTTTCATAGGAAGAAGAGGAAAATCACAATCACTAAGGACGAATCAGAATCACTTTATTAATTTTCAGGGAACACTAAAGCGAAGGTAAAGTGACTTCCGGCTGGTGGCTTTCGATACAAGCTCGAAACCGGTAAAGTTGAATATTTCAGATATTCTAGTGTCCCTAGACGATACTGGCGTTATTCTAATGTCGGCTATGTCGGTTCGGCTATTGAAATTTCAGTTATTTTGGTGGTATCACGCATACGATCCTCTTCAAATCATTGTTACACTAGTTCCATTTATAATTACACTGCCCGATGCTGCTTTGTACTACTTGTTACCGAATCTGATTGAAATTATTACAGTTTCCACATTCATTTGTACAAAATTAAAGTAAACGACATTTCGGTGAATAAATTTTCTTTTGTAAAACACATAGTAATCAATCACGATTCAGCTTAATATTGTTTTGATATATTACGTGCTGATTACATAAAATTTCGTGTCTGTTCTGTATGCTTTGTTAGATTCAATTATGCCTTTGCGGACATTTGCAATTCCAAATTGTGTAGATTAATGGTTTTAGTTATACGTTTGTATAAAAATGTTTATTGTAGTTATTATTGTGACAATCCGTATAAAGTAATATTAATAACATTTAAAGTATTGAAATTAGTATCACGTGACCTTTAATAATAAACATTTCTAATATACTTATCATAAATAAAACATTCTCTTGTTACAGAAGAGGCTAAAAAAATAATTTTTTCCTTAAATTAGATCTTTTTCTCAATCAATTGACATTTCAATGAATTCATTCAATTTCGTTGAAATATACGTATATGATGGTATTTTCGCTGTTCAATACGCGATTAATTTCATCAACGATCGTTCCCTTAATCTCGTTCGATTACTTGTATTTAGGGATAATAGTATAACATCTAATTTCATAATTAGGGAGAAATCGAATGTAGTTGGAAGCATTTGAACAAACACTTGGAGTATAAAAATAGTCAGATGAAATCGAAGATATCGATGAATTCGTCGTCCAATGCAGGAAGCTCAATAGAGATTTCCGTTGATGGTATTGCTAACGTCTTTTCAATTTGCTGAATCAATCGACCGGATCGAACGAACAAAGGCCACGGTTATCGTTGCCAACCGTACTTTCCACGGTAATTTATGAAGCCATGTATATTATGTCCGGCATTTTCTCTACTGAGCAAATGTTCATAAATCTCTAGGCGAGAATAATAAAAGAGCTAAGTTATTCTTCCCAGGCTTTGTTGTCCTAGCAGTATCGCAGAAAGAAAGAACAGCCGTTAAATGGCTGAAAGTAATATCCTTGCTGTTCCTTTCGGTCAAAAGAAACAACATTTCGTGTTAACGAGCTTGGTGCTCGTATTACGCGTCTGATACTCCTCTCGTTTTAAGAAGAGGATATTTTAAACAAAACGTTTTTGAATACTTCACGGAGATAGGTAATTCTGTTATTTCAAACGCGGAATTTCTTTTTCATTATTCCTTTACATCTACTTTCCAAGTTCAATGATTTTGAACTGGTAATTTGCTTTTTATTTTCGTATTATTTTACTTTATTATTACAACATGTATATTTTTTCTCTTAATTATCTGGTTTTATCTTTTTGGAAATATTAGTGGTGGCTATATATTTTAGTAGACAGAAAAATGAGAATACTCATAATTGTAAAAAGGAATAGTTTATTCATGACTTCGTTTTTCAAAACATAAACGACGGATTCGTACGGCAATGGTCTCAAATTTCAGTATGCTCTAGATCACAATCATCAATCATAATATTTAAAACAAAAATAAAATCTTGTTTTCTCCTTGTAAATTGTTGATGACAAAACGATATTAACTAACACAACTGCAAAACAATTTACAAAACAATGGATTAAAGTCTCTTTCTTTGATTATAACAATCGAAAATCTATAAACCTGAAATTTGTAACAGTGAAGAGGACACGTGACCCGATTATGTGATCCATTAATCAATCGTAAAACTCAATCGACTGCAAGAACACAGTCTTGGAGAAGTATCGTGTCTCTTTGGTGTTTCGATCAGTTAGATAATTACCCGTGAGACGTCCTCGAAGGGACAGACGTAGTCTCTTACGATAATGCACAATGTAATTCTCATTGCAATACTAGCGGACCATTTGCCGACTACCTGTGGTACGTGCTCGCACAAGAGATGGTATTATTGCATCCCATAGGACCTCGCAGTAAATGGGTCAGGAACGCTTGGCTGCTTGTGCTCGAACGCGATAACAGCCACTTAAGCATTGTTCTCGGCTGGAATCGAGAACACCTTCTGAATCATTCTAAAAATTTCGTCGACAATGCTAATTTCGTGTCTAAGGGATCTTCGGATCGACTCCTCTTAAAAAAGTACACCTGAAGACAGGAGTTCCTTAACCCATTTACATCATACGGAAAAGTGGAAAATTGGCCCTTATCACCAAAAACGTTTTTTATTGCATCAAAATAAAAATGGTTCAAAACATCTATATGTTTATTTTTATAATTTTCTATAAAATTAAAAACAAAGTGACGTAAATAAAGAATTCATAATTTTGTTTAGCGCAATAGAGTTAACACACATACTTTAATTGTCTTGAGCGTTTGCGAATTTTCTTCGGTAAACTTGTTTTAAGGAATATCGAAAAATGTTGACCAATAACTCTTTATGGTAATGACGGACATGGTATAACTGTTCGTGTTCTTGTTCATATGCGCTCTAATTATAATGTCCCAAAGGATGGCGCGCATAAATGCGTTCTGGTGATACAGACCAGGAAAAATCCGTGCATATAAGCGCTAATGGCGCAAATGAATTAAAATACATATTTGCGACCAGCAACACATGTTTGCAACGGTCAATATTTCATATGATGCATAAAAAAGAATTTAATTGCTTTCACCTGTATTTTTATGTAAAATCATAACTCATAGTGTAACGTTAAATGATCTATTTCAAAATATAATTTAAAAATTCTGCGTTTTTTCTCGTTTATTTAATTATATGTCAATTCCTATATTGTCGGATTAATGAATTTTTCAATTCTTGTCTTTCCATTTATTTCTGTTTCCACTAACAAAAATTTACGATCTAACTTTTGCACTTTTGGTTTATAACCAATTATTTTACTGCTTACGGTAGGAATTGATAGATGCAAAGTGTCAGTATTATTTAATCTTAATAAAATATTGCAACTACAAAGATTGCTGCTGAAATAAATGCTGGTCGCGAACGTGATGATACGTTATTAACCAATGGATGATCCTCGTTTTCTTTTGAAAACACGTTGTTTTTCGGCTTCTTTAACCCGAATAAACACTCCAAATCCATTCAACATTCATGCATTATTTATTGTTTTCGATGAACGAGAATAAATCTAGATCGTATCGAGATCCGACTGAGAATAATAGAGTGAATATGTACATTATAAACACTCGAATAATATTTGACCGAATCGGGAACGGACCGAAAACGAATCGAGAGCTATACAGAAGCATGTATCGGATTTACTTTTCCTTTTAAAATTTACTAAGTATTCAACTGGGGCCGTTTATAGTCAAATTGTATGAAATAAGGAATTATCGGTATTAAATTATTATTTATTGTTTAAAACATTTTATATGTCTTATGAGAGTTTTAATTCAAAATGTTTTACTACGTGTTAGAAATTCTGGAAATAGAGGGCAGTTTTGAAGGTACCATAAAACTAGAACAAATAATAAAAAATCAAGATAATCCTTTCATGTAAACAACTGAGAAAAAGAACGAAAAAAAGCTACACTAAAACAAGTAAAATCAAACCCTATTGAATTGCCAGACTTTTTTAACAGTTGTGAATGCAATATCAAAATAGTTAAGTGCTGCACGAATGAATTCACCGAATCCAACCAAAGTAACAAAAACGTTGCA